ATGTCCAGCAGGTGTCAGTATTCAGTGGCAGAATCAATACAGTTTTGCTTTGGGACGAAACGCTTCATGACGTCTCATCTCTAGTTTTTACACAAGCTTTGTTCTGAGCTTATTTTCTGTCTTTTGATCCATTTTGAGATAAAAAAGGGTAACACTTTATGTGGAGGGGTGTGCATAGACTGACATGACCCATCATAAACATGACATAACATCTGTCATGAACATAAAGAAGTCTTTATGAATGTTTATTACAGTTGTCATGAGGTAAATAATGACACTTCATGACAACTAATTAAAGTTTCTTCTGCTTCAGAATTTCTTACTTTTTTAAAATCATTTTGTTTAAATGAAGAGAATTTACACATATTTACAATTTTGTCTCATTAAATCAGACTCTAAATAATCATCTTCATATCAAATGAAGATGGTTTGGTATGGACTTTTACTTTTACTTGAGTAAAATGTGTTGAAGTATTACTGCTCTTCACATTGTTTGGGTTCTTTACTGACCTTTGACCTAAACATTGGTTAACAGACTCCAGGTGTTCTGGACAAATAAATCTGAAATTCATGATTGATCCATAAAAACAGATTCAGAATCTCAAAAGGTTAAAGTCAGGTTGGATCAGTCGGATTTAATCCACCAGAACCTGAGGCAGAACCGGGTCAGGAGGTCAGCAGGGTGAAGGAGGAGAAGAGGTTTGGTTTATGAGCAGACTGTGAAGTTACACTGTAAAAAATAATTTGATTTAAGAAGCTTTTCATAGAGACAAAAATGTGGATTTTTCAGTCATGTTTTCATTCCATTACATGTATGTCAGCGTTCAAAAACCAAATATTTATTTCACAAAATAAATATTTAGCTTTCAAATTAAAATTGTTAGGAAGCAAAATAAGTAAATTTCAAACTAAATATTTAGGTTTCTAGCTACACATTTAGCTAATATGAAAATTAGCTTCCTGCTGAGCAGACGTGGGATTTCTGCTGTTCATCTTTTACTATGTGACTTTACCTCGTTCTGTTTGGTTCTGTTTCAGTTCTGCTGGGTTCTGTTTGAGTTCTGTTTGAGTTCTGCTGGGTTCTGTTTGGTTCTGTTTCAGTTCTGTTTGGTTCTGTTTGGTTCTGTTTCAGTTCTGTTTGGTTCTGTTTCAGTTCTGCCGGGCCATCTGGACCTGCAGTTGATCCGTTTATCTCCCAGCGTCTTACAGAGGATTACTCTCAGGAGGATCGGGGCTCTGCGGCAGCATGGCTCGGTTCGGACCGCTGCTGCTCCTGGTCGGCCCGGTGCTGGTTCTGGCCGGGGTCCGGCAGCCATTGCCTGTCCTGTTCATGGTGCCGGTCGGGTCCAGGTCCGGTGGGGAGAACCTGACAGCCAGCCTGCTTCCAGCTGTCAGTCTGGCTCTGCAGGACCTGGAGAGACAAACGGCGCCGCTGGGGAAGTACCAGGTCCAACTGCAGCTGCTGGACTCACAGGTCGGTTCTGACTCGGTTCAGCTGAGCAGCTCTCTGTGATGAGCTTTATCTGCTTTAGTTCCTGGTAGGTGAGCGATATATCGGCATCAACATCGGAATTGTTCTGATAAAATCAACTGGGCCGATCTCGGCCGATGTTTGTTTCCGTCTCGGTTCTGGTCAAATTATTTGGACTTTAGTGATGCAGAACTGTGGCTGCTGAACTGAAGCAGAGGAGCAACACCAGCTTTGTGTGGAAATGCAGCTATAGTATTAGCAGAGATTGGCTCAGTTCAGCTAACTAGCGGCTTAGCTAACTTTGAAAACTTTACCTAGCTTTGCTCACCACTGAATATTGATCATCAGCCATATTGAATGTGGATTACAGTCAAAATGTTCAGTATTTTTGTTTCTTCATATCATTTTCATCCTGCTGGTCCAGAACAGCCTCAGCAGCTTTTTGGTCTCATTTTGTTCCAACAAGGGGCAAAAGTGATGACAATTCTAGGGGCCCTGACCAGCAGGGGGCCCTCCGGGGCCCCGTCAATTACAAGATTAATCATATTGAATTTCAGAAGATTGTTTTTAGCAGTAAAA